GCCCCCCCCCCCCCCCCCCCCCCCCCCCCTGGGGGCAGACATTGGTTTCTCAACCACAAATAAAGAGCTACAGGTGTTTGGTAGAAAACAGATGACTATTTCACATCCTTTTTTCCTTTATTTGTAACATACTTGGGAGATTGATTGCCTTGTGACTGTGTTTTCTTTTTCATTTTCCTATACCCCTAAGTAAATTTTTAGTACAAGAAGATTAGCTTACTTACCTTTCCACACAGAGGATCACTTGAATCTGATTTGGATTTTTTCCACCAGTTTACCTTCAAAGCCTTTTCCCCCCTATTGTCTCCTACAAAACAACAATTAATTCATAGATTCACACATGGCCGCGGATTCACCAATACACAAAGTTAAAATTCATGGACACTTATATTAACAACAACTTTATAAACGATGAAATGCAGATTTTAAAAAAATATATTACTTTCTCCTTGTTTGTACTTTATGGGATTACCACCTAAACCTAGTTTGTCTACAATATGTCACAGGAATAATAAATGTGCATTCGATAATTTGATCTTCTTCTATGTGCAGCTGTTTTAACATATTACACCAAATTTGAAAGGTTATAGTGCTTTGAGATCAAAATTTTTCAAAGTCGCCTTTGGGTGAGCTAACAATTAAAAAATGGTTGAGGGCTTGCAAGACATTTCAGCAAAAAGAGACACAGTGCAGTATAAAATGAAAGGTTTATAAAATAAGAGGGCTTAATACCTAAACACTGACCATTTTGGAGACTGTGGTCATTGTGGTCATTGAAAATAACAACTCAACAGACTCACACACACAAAGAATACACATTACAGTACCTTTGTAAGCCATCACACAAGCTGCAGTACCCTTTAGTAGATGCTCTCCTCTTTCAGCATCACTACCGGCTTGCACGGAGCCAGATTGTGACCTTGATGATCGGTAGCAACGTATGTAACCAAGGGCCAAGAGTGGTAGACCTAATATCATGAATACGACTGCTACAGTACTACCAACAATTACTGGTACATCATCTTTGTTGTCTGCTTCCTTTGCTTTAGATGAACCCTCAAAAAAACTCGTTTCATCAAATGATGCAACAGTGCCAGTATTTTGGTGTGGAAGGTTGCTCTGAAAGGTAGTACTTACTTCTGGGGATTCTCTTGGTACATCTTTTTGAGATTCTTTTGTCTTTTTCAAAGGTGCTGGTGTTGATGCAATTTTGGATCCTGTGGATTCTTGGGGGGATGCCTTTGTGTCTGTGTCCGTTTGCAATGCCATGGTTTCTTGTCGAGATGGAGTTGAGGTCACAGTACTTATGTCACATCGATTTACGCTGCTATGAATAGAGCAGATCATGTTCGAAGCAGCCCCATTTTTCTTTTGCATTCGTCTTCAATAACATCTTGAGAATCCCCACAGCATTTTGAACATCTTTGGCAGTCACCAGTAAGTTCATCATAATACCTACAAAGTTAAAACAACTTAAAGCTAGAAAATCATTGTAACCATTAAAAATTATTCTGATCAACATCTCACCAGCTCCCTATGTGTATGCAATTTCCATTTTGGGCACAACATAACAAAAAAAACTCATTACAATTATTTTCAGCTAGCTAGTTTGTAGTGCATAAAAGCTGGCATTTACAAAGAAGGGAAACAAAACAACAACAGCAACAAAAATGATATCACTACAAGAGTATGAAGAGGCAATTTTCATTGTTAAAAGTTCAGCTTCCATTTTTTACATTTGCAGGACCATTACCTGTCCTTGCTGTTGCACTGCTTTGCACATTTGACATCTGATGTCGTTGTGCAATTTTGATCAACCAACTGATCTTCTGAACAGGATGCACTGCACTGAATACAGCTAGACGTGTCATAACTGGT